GATGACAATGATGTTTTTGCATCTTCAGATTAATAATGTGTGCCATAGACACTGTGTACATTATATATATATATATACACACACACACACATATATATATATATATATAGTTACTGACTTTGTCACTGACAACTTTAATTTGTACACTCATCAGGATGACATCCTCATTTTTACCCTCAAAGTCCTGTGCAAATGCTTTCAATGCCAAGACAATAAACAGCCTTCTAGTCTTCATGATTTACCTTTCTTTTTGGAAAATATATCCAACAAATTTCTAACTGTATATAGTTTCAGGTCATAATTACACTCCAACTGCTCACAGCTGCCCTCTCTGGTCCTGAGGACACTAGATCTCACTAAGCCATCATTCATTCATCTCCAGTGCCAACCTGACCTGATGCTGTACCAAGAGCAATGGGTTCAAAGAGTGATAGGTTCAAAGGACCATTTATACTCATTTGTCACTGTATCAAAACAAGGCAAAACAACACTGCCACCCACTGCTGAACAGTGACCTGATCCCCAGGTCCTTCAGCTGTTTGGTTTTGGCTTTCCACCCTTGGAATGAAGAGGAGATATGCTTGGTCGGAGCTACGGGACCTCTGACAGTCAGAGTCTGGATGAGCAGGGCCTGAAGACAGTGTAAGAAGGGAGGTCGGTGGTGATTAACTCAAGTGGCATTTTCCAGGTGCTTCTCATTCTGGTTTCTCTTCTTTTATTTGCTCCTTCAACAAAGAACCATAAAGGCATGATCCTCCACAACCAAATCAGGACAAAAATATACACAGGCGCTAGAGATGGCTTCGCAGATATGGGCACTCGCTGCCAAGTCTGACAACCAGAGATTGATCCCCAGAATATACTGGATGGAAAGAAATAGCTGACCACTGCAGGTTATCCTCTGACCTATGCATGTATACTATGGCACACATACACCTGCATGCATACATACACGTACACACATATAGACACACATGTAAATAAAATGTCAAATAAAGTTTAAAAGAAAGAACGCAGGTAGTAAAAAATTATTTGTCTACTGTCTTCAGGGTAGTGTGAGTTTGAGAAAATGAAAATGTGTATTCTTCTTGCTACTGGTCAGGAAGTACTAGCCCCAGTTACAGAGTCCACGGAGACCCCTGCTACTACTGTACAATGGATAAGAGAGAATGTTCCAGTGGAATGAAAAATAGAAGTCCAAAGGTGACATTTTAAAAAACTATCTGGCAGGAAAATGTCTTCTAAGCAATATGACTGAAATATGACATTGGGCTTTTGCTTTAAGAGGATGCTACAGTTAGACTGAAGGGAGCGGACGTGGTGGTGAGGCTGTTTTCTGGGCAGATACAGAAAGGGGCTGCATGCAGGGGCTATGTCCATTAGGGCTGTGGTGTGGAGCACGTACCACCTCACTAATACACATGCTCTCAGGACATCTGAAATCAGTACTGTCATGACTTGCTGCTCAGTAGTGGTCCAACCTTACATCTCAAATTTCATTAAAATGGATGCCAAATTTAAATTATTTATCCATGATCAGGGTGAAATGTGCCTGTATCAGAGTCTTTGATCAAATTCATGTTTATGTGTGGGGGTGTCTGACAGTTGTCCTGGAAAGTAAGAAACATTGGTTGCATCTCAAGATTTCCAAACAACCTGACACTGGACGGAATTCCAGGCTCATGTAAGACTGCTAGATTTTATCCTATTCAAAGCAGGCTCCAAGAAAGGTTTATTGTGTAACAATAACAGCTAAGAAATTGCACTATGGAAAATAAATACCAAAACTTTCATATAATTAAAGAGCTAAATGTTTTATGAATGTGAACCAAGATACAGATTTCTGCAGTTTTTATGACTAGTAAAACTAAGTATTTAATTCTACAACTACCAAGAGGGCAAAAACTTTAATTGTAACAGTGAAGTAAAACAGCACCTTCTATTTAGTAAAACCCAAATTAACACATGCATCAAATTCAGGGGAAACAATTTAAAGGTCTAGAAGCAAAAGCCTTTATATAAATATTTAGATCTCAAAAAATATAGAATATATTTTTATTTATATTAATATATGCTATGAACAACATATATTTCCATTTTATTTAACTATTAGAAAGATGCAAAAATTTTCCTTTGCACAATTATGTAAAAATGCTACAGAGGTAGAAAAAAAAGAGACCAAATTATTTTGATCAAAATGCAATTTGCAAATCAATTTTAACAATATTTGTTAAAAGCCAAATATTGATCCCCCAAAGTACAAGAACTGCAGTTATGGAAGGCCCAGTGCTG